TGCCCTGGATGGGGGTTTGGGGGCAGAGTAACCAGATTCCTCCTGAGCTGCAGTAGGGTTGGAAAGGGGAGGTGAGGGAATGGCTCCATGTGGGTGTGTGGCTGAAGTGTCTCTGTGCCTGTCCTGGTGTGCTCTGCATGCAGGAAAAGTCAGTGTGATAATGAACGTGCTGGTCTTTGATATCTCTGTGGCTCCTATAAAAACCTCTGCAAATTGAATTTGTGGCACAGCTCCTTATCTCCTGAAAGGAAGATGTAACAGCATCATCTTGTGTTTTAGCCAGACATTTTCCCTTAACACTTCCCCATTTCTACACTGAGGGAAAAACAAATGTTGAGTCTTTTTTTTTTTTTCTCCTGTTTGAAACCTTAAGAGCCCTTCACACAAAGCAGCTCAAGTGCAGAAGAATTAATTGGGGAAATTAGGTTGTGCTGTATTCCTGGCATTTCCTCAGAAACGGTAATTGCCCTAATTCTCCACCCTGTCAAGACCTGCATCTGCACCCTGTTTTCTCCCTCCCCTTTTTCTCGATGTCTACCTGTTGTTCTCCTGCTTGAGTTGCTGTTTTCATGCTGTTGCCATTTATTTCATTCCAGTAATGAGATGGATGTGGCAGGTGAAGAGCTCTCACAATCTGGTGATATCTTCTTTGAAGCACAGGCACAAAAGAGCGGTTTGTTTTTGGGAGATAAAAACTCCCTGCTCTGGTACTTGACCTCCACGCTCACCTCTTCTCCTGCTCGGGGTATGTTGCTGCTGTCACTGCAAGTCATTTGGCTCAGAATTTTTGTTTAATACAGTCTCAATATTCACCTAAACACTGACCTCCAGCTAAATCCCTGCGTTTCCCCCAAACCCTCACATACCTACTGAGAGCTTATCAAACATAGGATCTTTCAATCAAAGCTCAGCCCCATTTCCCAGGCATTTGAATTGAGGCTTTTGATTTCTCCCAAACATCAGGCTGAGATCCAGAGGGCTGGGAGTTCAAAGCCTTTCATTTTAGCTTCCTGATGGTTTTTAACCTTCCATTTGCAGAGGTCAAAGATGTAGCCAAACAGGGAGGAATTGTTTGTTCAGTATTTCCTGATCTAAAACACCTGAGGATGTATATATGGCAAATTTGGATTCAACAGAGACGGTTCTTCCAGTCCATGTCCATGCTGACAGGACTTTGGCTGCTCTTAAAAGCTGTCCAGGCTGATCTCTGCTTTCCTGGGATCTGAGGAGAGTTCTGGGAGTAACCAGTCAAACGCTGGATCCATCACTGGGGTAGTGATACCATCCCCAGAAGTTAGAGTCAGTTCAGAAAGCTGGGGCTGTTTCTCAGTGAAGCCAAACTACCCAAGTCTGTCACCTCTGCTGTAAAAACTTGAAATAAAAACTGGAACTTCCTGCAGGGAAGTTCCAGAACCCTTTCCTTCAAACGATTCCCTTTGCATAAAACTTTACTATGGAGGGCAGGACTCTATATTCTATTTTCAGTGTTCCCTGGCTGCAGCCAACAGATCTAGAGAGGCAAAAGAAGCTACTTGTGATCCCCATCCATCCTTGAGTAGTTTTTCCCCTCCTCCTGACTGTGAACTGTTTTTCTTTCCCCTGTTTTAATTTGTTTTGTCCAAGTGTGGTTCCCAACACCTGCTAGAGGCTGCCTGCATGAAGTGTGCCCGCTTCTTCCTCCTGTCCCCACTTGGAACATCCCATTAGCCTGAAAGCTGTGACAGACAGGGAAAAGAGCTCAGTGCCTTATTTTAAGCAAGATAGACTCTCCTTTGGTGTAGATCCATCCAAAACGTGTTTCACTGTGGTGTCACCAGAAACAAAGAAGGATTTTGTACACAGTAGGTCAGAGACACTGATGGTTCTGGGTTTATCAGAGTGGATACAAATTTAAACTGTATTTAAACTGATTGAAACTGCAGGTAGAGCAGAAGAAGGTAGAGAACCTTATGTCAGCATTTTATTCCAGCTTCATGATTCCAGCACAGGTGGACCAGGAAGAGTGTGGGTGGTGAGCTGTTCTTGCTTTGGGAAGAGCACTGCTACTTACAGTCCAGCAAGACTGGAACTAGCAAATGTAAAACCCTCCCCTCATCTTGTCTAGGTTGTTAAACCTCGCTGCAGCCCAGCTGGCCACTGGCCTCCTCCTGCCTTCCCACCTGCAGGACCATGATCTCAGCTCTCTTTTACCATGGGTGCAGCCAAGAGATCTTTTTTGTGGTGACACACTGATCAAGAAAGGTGGGGAGCAACCCCAAACCTTGGTGTGATCAGCAAATAAACTGGAGGCAGAGAAGTTATCAGCCAGTTTAGTGAGATCGTGGATAAATTATGCTTTGCTTCATGACAAACTGAAAGGCCTCCCTGAAAAAATTAAATGCAAATATCTTCATCAACATCCCTAATTAAGATGCTTGTATGGAAGGAAACCACTGCTTTTCTTTTTTCCTGCTGATTTCTGCATACTCAGAGTTTCTCCAGGCTTTCCTCTCCTGTTCCCCCCATTTTCATAGTCCTGCCTCTCTCAGCCCCAGCAAGCTCCTTCTCCCTCCCAGCTGGATGGACAAAGCCCCTATTTGCAAGCAGCTTTAATACCCAGGCTGTTTTTTGGGCTGGGCTGTCAAAGAGAGCGTGTTCAATGTACAATCAAGGGGCAACGATGCACAAAATTGCACACACACACAAAATGGGAATCTTCTCTCAGTGCGTGTTGAGCTTTGAACGCTTAAGTGATTCCACCTCTCTCTTCCCCATCCAATTATGTGGGCGACACATGATAAGATTGCTAAAGGCATTAGTGAGGGAAATCTTTATACAGCCTAATCAATAGTGTTCTGCTCAGCAGAAGGCATCTCCCCACTCTGGCCTCAGCCTTGCTCCTGTTTGCCTTCTGAAAACACCTGGAGTTCACCTCCTCTCGATTTGGGCTGTGGAGACCAAGAGTTAAAGCAGCAGTGTATCTGTTGAGAATGGTTTTAGTTAAAGAGTTTCTTTCTTGCTTTAAAGAAATAAAGAAACTAAACCAAAACAAAAAACCAAACAAATATAAAGAGAGAACCCTGCCAAGCTCACATGTCAGGGTTTTTGGAAATGTTTGCTGTGTAGGCCAGAGGGACCTTCTGCCCCTTTCTGCTGTATGGTCCTTACATGAATGGCCAAAAACCTTATAAGCAAAGACGCTGGCTGGATGATAATTTTTCTGAGCATCACTGAGGCAAGATGCCAGATTTTATGGGCCACTAGACAGATCCAATATAGCAAATCCTCTGTTCCACTGTGGATTCTGAGACCAAATTATCAATTAATGTGAAGCATTAAAAAATCCAAATCCCTTTTAGTTCCCTGCAGTCATTAGTGACAAGATACAATATCTATAGCTCAAATGCTTTGCCAGCATCCCCTGGCAGCAAGGCAGAAACTTCATTCCTATTTTTTCCAACATACATAAAAAAAAAAAACATATGAGATCAGTCGTTTTAACTCTCAAATTCGGCTGCCTCTACATATTTACTTAGATGGAGAAATAAATCAGGTTTGGGTTACTCTCTGGGTTAGTTATTTGTTATTGGAATAAATGCATGGTAATAGATCTGACAGAGGGAGATGTTTCCTTTTCAGCTCTGTGTTTGAGGTAGAATTTGCTTTGTTCTGCACTATATTATATTGATGTTTTTCCCCCACTGCTGGATGACTTCATTTGCTCTACTTCTTTCCAACATCCGTGCCTCTACCACAGCTGGCTTTAAGATGCAGTTTTATGCATAGACTTCTCTTTTGTTTTCCCCCAACTGTAGCGCAGAGGCAATTTAAACAACCAGCATGAAACAATTTTCTAAGCCTTTCCCCCCACCAAACCCTACCTCAACTTTTTGGGAAGGGAGGTGAGTCAGTCATCCAATGGACAATCCCCCAAGCAGAATGAGCTGTCAGCTACATTCAGCAGCTCAGTTTCCACTGCAGGGTGGGCAGGGGAGGGCAGTGGCCAGCTGGTATTCCCCAGGCAGTTCTCAGCCTGAGTTCCTCAGCAGCACAGCCAGAAGTGTACCCCCAAGTCACTGTGTTCACCAACTGCCTTTCCATCTTGGGATTTTGTCCTAGTGGGAACACAAACATCTCACTGGAAAGTCAGCAGGCTTTATGCCTCTCATTCACTCTCAGTGTGCTCACTGAGATCCCTACCCCTTTTCCCCTCTCCTATTCTCCAAATCTTTCCTACTTTGATGCAGGGAAAAATGTAGCGCTGTATTTCCTGCCCCAGAATTTTGCTTCCCCTGTCCCTTTCTAAACTACAGTTTTCTGATTGCTGGCAGATTTGTGGGTGATTTGGAGCTGTGGGATCAGCTATTTTCTTCCCCAACCTGTGACAGTACAGATGGGACAAAGACTTTTGGGCCAGTGTAGGGTGATGTGCGAGGTCCTTCGCTGGGACATTTGTCCAACAGTACCCTTAACTCTGGCTGCCCTGAGCTTGTTCAGTGAAGATACCAGCCTGGGCCTTATTCTGCTGGCAGAGGCAGATGAGTCCCTGCACCGTGCTCAGGAGGGCTGACAGTGGGCGAGAAGCAGGATGCTGAAGTACCAGATACAGAGGAAATGCTCAAGCATCCTAAAATTTCTCTTGTCTGGAGAAGAATTCTGGGTCCCTCAACGGATGGCATTCTGTGTGACCATTCTGAGTGGCCTCACAGTCCCAGGAGAAGTTTCAGGGGGCTGAGTGCCCCTTGCCCAGCTCACCCTCTCTGTGCACTGGTGCAGGTGACCGTGTGGGGTGCGAGGTGGTGGCCACAGGGGCCAGAGGGTCTCACCTGTGCCAGGCCCTCACAGCAAAGGTTGAGCAGTGCTGGGATGTTGCAGCTAGTCAAAGACTTTTGGTTCAGTTAAAGACGCACCCTTTCCCTTCTTGTCCCCTTGCTTCATCCCCCCCATCCCTCCCTCCCTCTCTCACCCTTCCCTTCTCTTTTGTTTGTCTCCTTCCCTTGTTCTCACCCATTCACTGTCAGGAAGGGCCGCGTCTGAAGGGCCAGCTCAGCGCAGCGTGGCAGCGACAGAGACTGGCACCGTCGGCAGCTGCAACAGTGAGTGCATCCCAACCCTGGGGCAGCTGGAAGTGGGGGACTGGTGCTGCTTGGGCATGAAATGACACCTGGGGCTGAGTGGCTTTGGGAATAGTGCGTGTGGCAGTGAAGGGGCTCTTGTCTGTGATGGGAACTGCACACGTGTCTACTGCAGCCACTCTCTGGGGCTTCTCTGGATGGTGAGAGGATATGGGATGAATGCAGAAGTCCTCAGTGCCACCTTCCTCTCTGGGTGTCCAGGCTGTGTCTGCACTAGGGGACAGTGTGGGCTGTCCTTGGCCTGTTTGGTTTGTCTCTATGCAGCTAAACTCCCCCATGCATCCAAGCAGGGTGGCATTTGCACTGGGGCTGTCCCTGACCTGTGTTGTCCTCTCAAGAGCTGCTTGGACAGTTAAACTGGCGTGGCCAGACCATTTGGGTGGTTGGATTGTCCCATGCCAGCCCTGACAGCTTTTGTGTGCTGGTCTGGACACGCTCTGCTGTCTGACTGGGTGTCTGCAGCTGTGATTGAGGGGATGCACCCAACACTTCCCACTGCTGCTCCCATCCCTTGGCCAGAGGAGAGGCAGTGGGGGCTTGCTGTGAGTTTGGAGCTCTGACAGAGCACAGGAGTTTGGTTCTGCCAAGGGTGTGGCTGATGGGAGCCACATGAGCTGTGTGAACCCACTGAGGGTTGGTGACACCTCTGGTCACCCTGCCCACCTCCCACAGAGCAAAGCCAGCATCCCGTGGTGCTCACTGCAGGATCCTCAGCTCAGAGTCCCCTCCAGGAAACTGCAGGGCTGCTGAGGCTGAGCTGCAGGAGCCTGAGAGAGAAGCAAACATCCAACTTGGTTGTCCTGTGGGATTTTTCTGCTGGCACACAAAGAAATGCTCTGTTGATCCAGAAAGTTAGGGAGTCTTTGCTTGAGCCTGTTTTGGAAGTGGATGGAGCTAATCCACCCTAAGACACTGAACAGAGCAGTTATGAACCTTCATAGTTTAAGGCAGGAAAGTGATGGCTTCCACACATTATTTCCCAATAACTTCCCTGTACCAGCAGTCCCAGAGATGGGCATAAATATTTGATAAGTAGTCATGTCTGGGATAAATCACCTGAGTCCAGTTGCCCCAACCCTCTGTGGCTCTGTGATGGGAGCGTTTGCTCCTGGCCAGGCAATGCAGGATGAGTGTCAGGACCTCTCCTCCTGCTCCAGAGAATGCCTACAGCAGCTGAGTGGATCTTGCAAATCCTGGGATATGTGACAGAGCAAGGCTCAGGCACTTCCTGACCATTGCCAGAACCAAATGGGAGTGTGAGTTTAGATATTGCTGATTTTGCAGAGGATATGTCAGCAGATAAGAAGATTTGCCACTGAAAGGTGATTTTGTTACACTTATGCCTTTCTGAGCCAAAATTGAATTGTGGGGTGTGGATGGGAATTTAATTCTAAGCACTGATGTAATTTTGTATCCTTGGCCCTGAAGGCAGTTTTTAAAAAAATTATTTTCCCCTGTGCCCTGACACTATTTTGTTGCCTTTGAATCATGTCCTTATGACAGAACAGATACTGGGGCTGACCTTTGCAGTGTGACATAATAATATGTGACTTCTTTATAGCTCTTTTCATTCAAAATGCTTGGCACACTATGAATCTGATCTTGCAACCACTTGCCACTGGGCCTAGCACTCACTGCTCCAAGCAATCCCTGGGGAAGCCAGAGGAGCACAGAAAGTGCTACACCTGGTATTACTTGCAGGATCAGGCCCTGGAGAAATGTAGCACATCTGTGAATAACCACATTTTGGAGAAAGAAAGCCTTACCATCTCATTTATCATTTTTATTCACAATCAGAATGCTGTGCCCAGCATTACCATGACAGCCTCCCCTTGGCTACAGTGTCATGGCAGGTGATGCTGGGGCAGTATTCATAGCTATTATCTACCACTCTCTTGGTTTTTTAAATTATTTTTCCCAGCTTTAAAAGCCTGTTAATTAATTAACTCCTTTAGCTTATCCTGCACCATTTGATCCTGCAGAAATCACAGCATTTTATCTTATTAGCAAGTAGGAATCAAAGAATTAAAACTACTAGGGGGAAAAATGAACATTATCACTTTCCCTGGGCATCACTTCTGAAAAAAACCTCACCCTGTACCGAGGCTCAGCCCCCAGGGCTTGACAAAGGATGGGAATCCCAGATCAGGGAATGCTTGGGCTGAGAACTGCTTTGTGCTCTGCTATGCCTGTTTTGAAAGGGAGGGCAGAGCCAGGTGCAGGGAGGAAAGTCCTGCAGTGAGATCCCAGGCCTGGACTGTGCTGCAGGTCCCTTCCCTGCTACTGATGTCCTCTGCCACCATAGGAAATTCCATTAGTTCCCTTGTGCCTCAGTTTGCCATTGTTAAAGAGTGATCCCTGTTTGTGCTCACAAGGGAGATTCACATGAAAATAAGATTGCAAGGGACACAGTAATTACAGCATTGGGAAACAGGTAAGTACCTCAGGAATATGTAGGGAGTCTGTGAGCTGAGACATTTGAGCTATTGGTTCACAGAGAGTGAATTTTGGGAGTCCTCAGTGGCTGGAAAATGCAGAGAAGGAAGCAGGAAGGATCCTTGCACCCACCTCTGCTTGGTTTGTTCTAGATCAGTAGAACCAGGAAAGATAACTGCTCCACCCTGTTGTTGATGAGAATTGGTTAAATCTGGGGATGGGGACCCACTAACCATCATCAGGTACCTGCCCACATCACCACTGTTTGCCATCAGCACAGCACTGCATCCCCACCACACCCTCAAAACTCCTTTGAAAAATTACTTCATTAGGAGGAAAGAGATCTGGAAAGGATTCCCTGGATCATCAAACCAAATCCCCTGTTGCATCAATCACATCAGATTTATCTTTTTCATAATCAAGCCCCACTATTAAATGTGCTCCTAAAGGGAAGAAGACAGTCCCAGAATCCCGTTGCTTTAAATCGTAGCTGCCCCTGATTTCCAGTCTATGCTTAGTCATGGCCCATTTGTTAAACAGCAGGTACCTGGCGTAGAAGCAAGAAATTTAACACAGTTTTATTAAAATAACCACCCAGAAATCCTCACCACAGAAAACTGCTGTGGTTGCAGAAGAGAACGTGCAAGGTCAGGTAATGATAATGGGGAGGCCTGAGCTCACTCCTGCCTCTGCCTTGTAGAACAGACTTCACACCTGAGTGAGGAACAAGGCAAAAGTACTCACAGCACAAAGGAACCTTTTTGCTATTCTTCGCCATCATATTCATTGTGTAACCCTCTGTCTCTCTTGCCAGGTATAACTAATGCTGAGCTAAACATTTGGCTATTTTTTTCCTTTTGCTGACAGGCTTTTCCCTGCCATTTATAGCTTCACTGTACAAGCCATTACCTGTGCAGCATCTTTGAGAAGTCAGTGAGTTCACAGAATAGTGGGATTGTTTGGATTGAAAGGGACATTAAAGACATCTAGTCCCCCTCCCCTGCCATGGGCAGGGACATTTTCCACTGGACCAGGTTGTTCAAAGCCTCATCCAGCTTGGTCTTGAACACTTTCAAGGGTGGAGTTTCATCATCCTGCTTTGCAGATTAGGAAAGTAATTCCAGAGTTATCAGCCATACCAACCCATGGTGCTTCAAGGGCAACTTCCCCCCTCCAAAATACCCCTGCTTTGTCCAGTGCAGTCTGATTGACTCCAAAGCATGCAAGTGCTGCCCAGGCAGAGGAAGGTGCCTGGTGCAGCAGCCTGTGGTGTACATTGCATGCCATGAAAATGATGGGATGCTCTAAACCATGATTTGTCCAGATAGTTCATCTTAATACACAGTGAATGGACAGAGGGAAGAAATTGGTGAGTACAGGCTCAAGTGTAAAAACTCAGTGTAACCCATCAGTTGTGGTGGCCCAGCCCAGCTGTGACCTGATGGCACAGGGAGTGGTGCTTAGCTCAGGCCACTGCTGCAGGGAATGGCCAGAGTGACTAAGGAGGAAGGCTCCTTTGCCAAAACCAGGTTTGGAACTAGGACACTGCAATCCCATGTTTGCTTATTTAACTTGGCAGGTATTCAAGTGAGACAGGCACACAGGGGAGGTATCAGAGCCAACGGTACCCACGTGTGGGATTTTAAGTTTCTATTTCGGTGCTCATGCTTGGAAAAAAAATGCAAGCAGACCCTCTCACCCTCCTTTTTCTTTTTTTTAAAACAGTACTTAAATGTCATAATAATCATGTAGTGCCCACCTTAATGTGCTGAAGAAATTAAAATATTTTATTAGACTATAATCTGAAAATCATTACTGTGCTTACCATAAAAAACTGCAGGTCTTCAGAGGGAATGATGTCAGTGGGTCTGAAATGAATGCAAATATATTTTGTTGCCATGCAGGTAGCAGGGGTCAGACAGACGGCCCCCAGCCCCAGGGCAGCAAGCTGTTAGCATGGGAGGGAATGAAATGCATCTCACAGTGGGGAGAGAGAAAATGGATCTCTTGGCTTATTTTCCTGGAGTTTTGCAGGGTGAATGCCTGGGTGTGGGCCTGACTGATTGGGATGGTTCCAGAGGAAAGCATTGGTGCTGTTCCCACCCAGGTCCCTTGCAGTGAGGGTAAGGAAGCACTCCAAAGAGCTCATCCCAGCGTGGCTGAGCTGCTCAGGACCTCTGGCTCCATTCCGCTTCCACTGACAGCACAGGTGCCTGTTCCCCTCGGGCATCCACATGCTCCTGGTGCCCCCTTCCTTCTGCAGATGGTTCTGGATGTGTCTCTCCAAATAAGAGAGACAGCAGCAGCTGCCTCCAGCTCTAAGAAACCAGCCCACGCTCACTGCCTCTGGCAGCTGGCTCCCGGAGAGGCCAGGTGACAAGGCAGGTGACAAGGCAGTCCTGCTTTGGCCAGGTGACACTGGACACTCCCAGAGCAGTGGCTCCTGAGTCCTGCACAGAGCCAGTGGGCTTCTGCTGGTTGTTCCTCACCGCCTTGGGTGTGTCAGATGGTTCAAAGAGTAATTA